AGCGCTGCCTGGAGGCTGTACTGCAGTGGATGCAGGAGAACGGGCTGAGGCTGAACCCGGGCAAGACGGAGGTCCTGAGGGTAGGTGGCCCCTCCATCTGCGGTTTGGGAAACTCCCTCTTTTTTGGGGGGGTGACTCTCACCGCAAAGAGTGAGGTTTGCAGCTTGGGAGTACATCTGACCTGGCGCTCACCCTGGAGACCCAGGGGCGTCAGTGGTCCACTCCGCCTATTTCCATCTGCGGCGGATTGCCCAGCTGCATCCCTATCTTGATGTTGGGGGACTCACCATTCTGGTCCATGCGTTCGTAATCTCGAGATTAGACCACTGCAATGCACTCTACATGGGACTACCTTTGGGGTTGTTGCGGAAACTTCAAATGGTGCAAAATGCGGCGGCCAGACTTCTCACTGGGACGAGAAAATACCAGGACATCTCTCCCATCCTGGCTGCCTTGCATTGGCTTCCCATTCATTTCCGCATCCACTTCAAAGTGTTAATGATGACTTATAAAGCCCTAAATGGTTTAGGACCTCGATACATGGTGGAGTGTCTTTTCCCACTTAGATCTATCCAAGTCACTCGTTTTAGCCAGGAAAGAAGGCTGAGGGGCCTAATGCCGGAAAGAAAGAACAAGAAACCAGGCCTTCTCGGCAGTGGCCCCTCAACTATGGAACACCTTGCCGCCGGAAATCACCCTGGCACCCTCGCTGGGTGTTTTTAAGAGTCATTTAAAGACCTGGCTCTTCAGGCAGGCCTTCCCTCCAGTCAAGACCTGATTTTCTTTTTTCTTTAGTTTTTTTTTCATCTTGATCTTCTAATTTGTTGATATTATTATGTCATTGATTTATATATATTGGTTTTTGATTTTATTTGATAATGTTTTATTCTTCTTTGTAAGCCGCCCCGAGTAGACTCTGTCTAGGGAGGCGGGGTATAAATTGAATAATAAATAAAAAATAAAAATAAGATTGCCAGAAAGAAATATCAACAACCTCCGATATGCAGTTGATACCACTCTGATGGCAGAAAGTGAGGAGGAATTAAAGAATCTCTTAATGAGGGTGGAAGAGGAGAGTGCAAAAATGGTCTGAAGCTCAACATCAAAAAAACTAAGATCATGGCCACTGGTCCCATTACCACCTAGCAAATAGAAGTGGAAGATAAGGAGGCAGTGACAGATTTTACTTTCTTGGGCTCCATGATCACTGCAGATGGTGACAGCAGCTACAACATTAAAAGACAACTACTTCTTGGGAGGGAAGCGATGACAAACGTAGACAGCATCTTAAAAACCAGAGACAAAGGTCCGCATAGTCAAAGCTATGTTTTTTCCACTAGCAATGTATGGAAGTGAGAGCTGGACCATAAAGAAGGCTGACCGCCAAAGAATTGATGCTTTTGAATTGTGGTGCTGGAAGAGACTCTTGAGAGTCCCTTGGACTGCAAGGAGAACAAACCTATCCATTCTTAAGGAAATCAACCCTGAATGCTCACTGGAGGGACAGATCCTGAAGCTGAGGCTCCAATACTTTGGCCATCTCATGAGAAGACTCCACGGAAAAGACCCTGATGTTGGGAAAATGTGAAGGCAAGAGGAGAAGGATGACAGAGGATGAGATGGTTGGACAGTGTCATTGAAGCAAACAACATGAATTTGACACAACTCCGAGAGGCAGTGGAAGACAGGAGGGCCTAGCATGCTCTGGTCCATGGGGTCATGAAGAGTCGTACACGACTTAACAACTAAACAACAAAATAACAGAATACGAGAATACCAGAAAGGGATTTTTAAAAAACTCAAAAATTTTCAAGATGTTTGTTTAATTATCCATGCATCATGCGTGCAAAGAAATGAAGGACACTTCCTTCTTCTAAATTTGCTGATCTAACAAAATATAGGGGTGAAAAGAATTCTGACCACAGCATTTGAAATATGGCAAAGATAAACACAACAGACTCGGATTCAGAGAGAGAAAGGAAATGTAGCACATAAACAGGGCATCTGCTTTATATCCACTGCACAGAAAGAATGTGTGTGTGTGGGGGGGTCAGAATGCAGTTTTCATTTGGCTTCCATTTCCTTAAACTGGCTTCCAATTGTGAACAAATGAAGTCTCAGGAACAAATAGCTTTTAGACAAGGTTCTTGTCATATGGTCTTTTCATCTGACCTAGAGTCCTTCCTCTTTCGGTTTGCCCCACCCAGCAAAGAAACTTTGTACACTCCATTGGTGAAGGATGAATAGATTGTTCGGTCACTTCTCCAGCATCTTGCTTTGTTTTTGTGCTGGCTGTGGATATGCGAACATTCAAACCACTGCTAGTGATTTGGAAAGTTGCATCTAGACCAGAACTCTAAGGTATATTCATAGACTTATGCTGCCTTTAAGTTCACCTTGCAAACTGTGGTCCATTGGAAAATGTTTTGTTTCTTCAAAAGCCTTGCTTATTACTGGTCCTTTGAGAAGGGCATTTATAGCATCCACCTGCAAAAAAACCACATTTAGTCAATCCTGGAAATTCTTTAGGCGTTTTCATAGAGCTACATAGCTAATTGTAATCTATCATTAAATGCTGTGCATTGTGCTTTAAAAACAGAGACACTCACTTGTTGAAGGTTGGTTTCCCATAGTGGGGAAAAATGGGAGTAAAGATCTACTGCAAGGAAATAGGAATTCAAATTATCAGAGATCTGCCAAGGAGTGTCACTGACAGAGGAAGTGTGCTACTATCAAAACTGTAATTCACGCAATATGCATAATAATAGGACATCAAGCACTGATAAAAGATTTGCTGTTTTCAACAGACTGTGCTATAACATCAGGGACAAGCCAAGACTTATTATGTCAGGATGAACCAAATGGCTTCTGACCATCCAGCATGCTTAATTTATGGAATTTCCAAACAGTAAAGCTTGGTTCACTCTAATATTTCCACCCTCCTCTTCTTTCTAAAAAATCCCCACCAAAGCAACTGTAAATAATATGCTAAATACAAATACAACTGAAACAAAAGAAAGAATTTGCAAAATTGTTTTATTGCTACAACAAGCAACCTATAGTATTTTCATTAATTCATTACTAAAGGAAATATTAAAAATTCAATTAACCCCTACACTAGGTCAGTCCCTGGTCTTATGAAGCATAAATAATAAATGCAACTGAATTAATAAAAATATGACATTCATAAATAGTGCATCAATAAACTGCTATTGCAACTTTACAGAACCACCACCACTAAGGAATTTCAGCAACTATACGGTTCTAAGTATTAAAACTGGAAACAATGAGACCACTGCAAGAAGTGGATAAGGTCCCAGTCATGCACTAAGATATGGCTTGGTCCTGCTGAACTGCAGGAACAAGATGTAAGCTAGAGACTGGGGGGAAATGGATGCAGAAATGGATGAGAGCACCATTGGTGAAATTGATTTTGACACAGGATTAGAAAAAGTCATGCTGGATAGATTTGCAACGGGTATTAATAACCATAGTGATGGGTATTAGTCACTGAAGCTAGATAACAACCGTGTGTACAGAGGACGTTTATTCATGAATACTGAGTGCTGGGGGGGGAAGAATGGACGGACGGACGGACGGACGGACGGACGGACGGACGGACGGACGGACGGACGGACGGACGGACGGAAGGAAGGAAGGAAGGAAGGAAGGAAGGAAGGAAGGAAGGAAGACATAGCCATAATCTTTCAACCATGATTATGAAAATCCAGATGGATTCTGACCAATCAGTGGCAGAAAACAATTGCAAGACTAAATGAGCCCAATCTGATTGGGCAGGAGAATATCAGTGTTCAGGACAGACTCTTATCTTATGGTCCACATGCCATAAGATGGGGGTCTCTCCAAGACTTATTTCTAAAGGTTCTAGGCTTGTCTCAGGACCTCTAGGTTTCATATAGTTTAAAAATAATTCCTCAAATGGAGACTCCTGCAGGGGTTGCAGTTCTTTTTAACAAAGGTACAACATTCTCTCCACTTTATTTTAGCAAGGCAGCAAGCAAGCAAGAAATGCATTTCTGAAAATGAGAAAGGGATTTTTAGAAATCTCCAGTTTTGGAGTGGCTGGTGCTACCCAAGGTATGTGAAAAATGGCCCTAAGCTTTCTGAAAGTGTTGTGGACTCAGGTTACAGAATGCTCTGTAAAAGCTGCCCCAAGCACCACTGAGGGTTCTTTACATCAATCAAGCTGGATTACACAAACTCTTTCATCAACTAAGCAGGAGGAGAATTTAGAACAACACCTGCTTACACGCCCATCAGGTAAGGTGTAAATTGGACTTCAGTTGGCTTCTACCTGGTAAGCAAACCAAAATTTATCCCAGTGTCCTGGTGGAGATTGTATGTCCATGTACAGTGGTGCCTCGCAAGACAATTTTAATTTGTTCTGCGAAAATCGTCATCTTGTGAAAAAATTGTCTTGCGAGGTTCCCTATGCATCGGTCTCAAAAAATAAAATCTTGCGAAGCATCGGTCTCCAAAAAAAACCCATCTTGAGAAGCATGGTCATAGAAAAAAAGTATTGCAAGGCACCATAGTGACTGCAAAAACCAATTGTCTTGCGGGTTTTTTGTCCCACGCGCCAACTGTCTAGCGAGGCACCACTGTATAGTCTTTTCCCCAACCCTAACCCTAAAAGAAACTTGGTTTCCAAAAATGGGCAATGGGGGGAGCATATATTAGAGTGATGGGCTGCCACTGTCTGAACACTGAGTAGAAATTTCCAACCATAATAGAAATTGTGAAGCATTAAGCCACACCCCCGGTCTGCCTGTAACCAGTTTTAAGCTCACCTTAAGAAGATTGTGTCTGGCACATTCATTCAAACTTTCTCTGCGCTAATCACCAGTTACTGGTGTAGTTTATTACATTGAAGCATGCATTAATTGTTTGATTTTTAGTGGTCTAAAAATGGCACAGAACGTACAGAGAGAGAGAGAATAAAGCCGTCACATTCTTCTACATCTGTGTTCTTCATGTCACTCACCTGGTTGAAAAGATGCTCAAGACACCCATGAAGTTTATCTTGTTTATCTGAAGGTATCCTCATATCATTGGGAAGTTCATCACCTGATGACAAAGCAAATAAAGTTGGGGTTTGCTTTCATATGGATAGATCTTATCACACAGTTTTTTTCTGGTCTTAATTTATTTCCACTCATCTCTTTCCTCTTTCCCCTGCTCCTTCCATCCCTTTAGTTACTGATCAGACCGAAGGTACTGAACTTCCTCCATTACGGCTATGTACACATCCTCTACTGAGGTTGGGAGACACAATATTTTTCTGCCGCTGGGCACAATCTCTTCCTAACAAGTACTTCTGTTATACATACACTTAAGATGTGCTTACTGAAACAGCAGTCTTAAGAAGAAATGTCCCGTTTCTATTATGTTCAAAGCTGAACTAGACAAAATGGGTTAACTCTTACTAGATCATAGAATGACAGAACTGTAAAGCTGAGAGGGCCTCTATTAAGTCCGACACCTGACAAAGCAGGAAATTGACAGCTAAAGCACACTTAACAGATGGAAATGCTTAAAAACCTGCATGGAAGGAGAATCCATCAACACCCATTCTGCTGCTGAGATACCCTCTAGCGCTCACTACCATTAACACTTGCTGAAAAACAGCCCTGGCAATTAATTTGTGTTTGGCTGAGAAGTATTTAACTGACAAAAAAGGAGTCTAGGATTTCATCCTGCTTGGTGTCACTTTGTGAATGGTAGTGAGCACAAGGGGACCTCTGTAGACCAGAGGTCCCCAACCCCCACTCCGTGACCCAGCAGCAGGACCAGGCCGCAGACACAGATCTGTCCCTGCAAGCACCGCCATGCGCATGCGTGTGAGCGCATTCCGCCCCTGCAAGTGTGCCGTGCGCATGCACGAGAACGGGCCCACACAAGTGCCGCCACATAAATGTGTGCGCACACACTCTGCCCCCTGCAGGTGTGCCACACCCACACAAGCATGCCACACACCCCACGCAAGTGTGCCATGCCCACCCAACCCGTCTGTGGTTGGGAAAAGGTTGGGGACCACTGCTGCAGACCATCTTAGTGCTGCTGTCAACATTCAGGCCACACTTTGCTATGTAAATCTTGGCATCCTGTTTCCTGCTGGCAACATAGGCACAATATGCGTTCTATGTGGGGCTGCCTTTGAAGACGGTCTGGCAACTGCAAATGGTCCAGAATCGAGCTATGTGGCTGGTATGGGGTGAGGCCTCTAGGGAACACATCAATCCAATTCTGTTTAAATTACATTGGCTATCAGTTGCTGCCCGGGCCCAATTCAAAGTGCTTGTTTTGACATATAAAGCCCTAAACGGCTTGGGCCCTGGATACCTGAAGGATTGCCTCCTTCCATACAAACCTACCCAGCAGTTAAGATCTAGCCAGGGGGGGCTTTTGAAAGAGCCATCCCTCAAGGAGGCAAGAAGGATAGCTTGTACACAAAGGGCCTTTTCAGCAGCTGCTCCCAGACTATGGAACGGCCTCCCGAGGGAGATTCATGTGACGCCAACACTGATGACATTTCGGTGCCACGTCAAAACCTTCATGCTCCATAAGGCTTTTAATTGAAATAATATCAACTGAGGGTCTTGATGGCAATTTTTAGAGTATATATTTTAATTGTATTTTAATTGCTTTATCTTTTTTACTGTATTTTAATTGTTGTAAGCCACCCAGAGACCTTTGGGAAGTGTGGGCGGCATATAAGTTAAATAAATATATAAATAAATAAATATTGTACAGCAGTATCAGGCTATTTCCTCGTTGTTTTGAATGTAAGCCGCCCAGAGTAGACAATGTCTAGATGGGCGGCATATAAATTTAATAAATCATCATCATCATGAATACAGAAGCACAATACCCCACATTCATACACCAGAGGGTTTTTGAAGAATTGAACATACTAATAATCTGCCATCTTATCTCATACAAATCTGGTATCCGTGTTTAATAAACACATACATACATAGCTGTTTCACATGAGTGGAATTGCATATTAAAGGTAAAGGTAAAGGTTCCCCTTGACAATTTTTGTCCAGTCGTGTCCGACTCTAGGGGGCGGCGCTCATCCCGCTCTTCAAGCCATAGAGACAGCGTTTTGCCTGAAGACAATCTTTCCGTGGTCACATGGCCAGTGTGACTTAGACACGGAACGCTGTTTACCTTCCCACCGAGGTGGTACCTAATTATCTACTTGCATTTGCATGCTTTCGAACCGCTAGGTTGGCGGGAGCTGGGACAAGCGACGGGTGCTCACTCCGTTGCGTGGATTCGATCTTACGACTGCTTGGTCTTCTGACCCTGCAGCACAGGCTTCTGCGGTTTAGCCCACAGCGCCACCACGTCCCTGGAATTGCATATTACCAATCTGTTTTAAATGGTTTCAAAATCGAAACAGATTAGCTGGCTAACTTACATCTAAGTGGTATGTTAATGGATGAAAGATTATTTTCCTCCATCTTGAAAGACCACTATACACAATTTTAGGTGAACAGCTACAGTAAAAAGCCTCATATCTTATGAGTGCTGGTTCAAGAGCAGAACTTGGAAAAATCACCTTTTTGGATCATAGCTCCCTAAAATCCATAACTCCAAGGCCACATGGGCAGTGGTTGGTTGGGGGATTCTGTGAGCCAAAAAATATTTTTTAAGGTCTCCTTTTAGGAAGGAACAAAAACTAGAGAAGATCAACAAGCTGGTAAGAAACTTCTGCTGAAACTAGACGTTTTAAGGACTTCTATCAATCCTTTCTAATACAGTGGGGTCTTGACTTGAGAACTTAATCCGTATTGGAAGGCGGTTCTCAAGTCAAAAAGTCTGTAAGTCAAGTCTCCATTGACCTACAGTGCATTGAAAACCGATTAATCCCGTAACAGGCCGTTTTTGTTCCATTTTGGTTTTTTTCTGGTCTGTAAGTCAAATCTCAGTCTGCAAGTCAAACCTAAATTTTGCGGCCAGAGAAGTCTGTAACTCAAAAAGTCTGTAAGTCAAGCCGTCTGTAAGTCAAGGGTCCACTGTAATCCTTTTCAACCACCCTCTTTTGACCATAAAAAGGTGCTTCTGTGCGGCTAGAAGAGATTAGAAAAATGGTGGCAGCGGAAGCAGATGTAACCTTCCCCCCCACACACACACCAGTTCTCTATTGTACATTGCCTTATTCGAAGAAGTCTGGAATGTCACAAGACATGTGCAGGTGGGTAGGTGAGTAGGTGTAGGGTAGGAAATCATCAGGTAAAGTGTTTTGTCCTTTTTCCTCATGTGCAACTTCTCAATCATAGTCATCTCTCCAGAAGCGTGTTTTTTTTCAGTTTAAAATGGACTGGTGTAGTAATGTTACATTTATCTATGTATGGCATCTCATTTAGACTGCAGCCAACTAAATTTGTTGCATCTGCCTGTGGAACTCTAAAGAATCAGCACAAAACAGATGAAAAACCTGAACTCAGAGGATTCTCTTTTCACCTGTACAAAAGAATAGATCTAGGCATTTAGCAAGGCCACACTGGCTCCAGTGGAAGCACTTAAGAAACAGAAGTGAACAACAGGTAATAGGAAGGTATCTGCAGGACCATTCACTTACAGCCTGACAGTCGTTGAATAGATCTTTATCTCCCTGTCAGAAAGCATAGCATTCACTTACCTGATCCCATCTCATCACTGCCCAAGTAAGAGCTATTACTCCGTACACTGGTGTAGGAAAGCACTGAGTCTCTGTTGCTGTTACATTCACTGCAAGAAAAAAAAGGATGTGTGAAGATTAAGAATGGATGGATGGATGAGTGAATGAATAAATGAATATATATCTTTCTGCAGAATTCCAAGCATGTGTCATTAGCAACTGGAAGAAAAAACTTTGAAGGAAAATTTTCATTTCTGTCCATCTCAAAGAGGATAATCTGTTTTATGGACAGCAGTTCTAGTTCTGACTCAATGCAATAAGAAATTACTATACTTCAGTGGCAGCAACCTCTTCAAATTTGTGCTGGCACACTTTGTCTTCCCAAAGTGAAGAGAAATTGCAGCTTTATGGCATTATCATTTTGCCACCAGGATTCATAGGGAAATGAGTGAGGTGTTCAAAATTAGACTCATCATGATCTTTTCAGATTGAGGGGAGTCCACAAATAGCCCTGATATTCACCTGCTTCATATACAAAGTGCAGATCTAGCCCAAAACCTTTAAACCTTTTGTATTATTTTATGTTCGATACTACCCAGCATAAATTGGCGTATCATTTTTTTAAAGGACAAGAAAACATAATTATGCTTACACTGGGATACAAATAAAGGGAAAACTGTTTTCTGCATCTATATTGCAAACAACTTTGCTTTTTAGCCTCAGGTAGATATTTTTAAAATGGCTACTTTGAAAGTATGAGCAAGAAGAAAGTTCTAGCCCAGCCCCTGTCAGTCACTGTCTCCATGTGAAGAATGTGTCTGAAGAGCAGACCGTCTGCTCCGTAAGGAGACTCCTCATCCTGAACACAGCTCTTGGGATGTCCAACCCAATTGCCACAGATGCTGCTGTATCTGAACGGCCACTCTGCCTAGTTCCATCCTTCTATGTTTACTCTAAGTCCAACCATTTTATTAGGGCTTTCTCTCATGTGCACAAGGGTATAAGAGACATACATTGCTACCTTGCCTACAATAAATTCTCCCCTTTTATCTTTTTTTAAAATGCACATTTAGTTAGAATATTAACAAATGGATGCAAAAAGTCTATTTTAGAAGGGTATAGTTTTAAATTTTGCAGGAAGGAAGGAGGAAAAGAGAAAAGAGAGAGAGGGAAGTATGACTCCACTTTCAGATATAACACATGTATATTCCTGTAGTGTGATCCTTCCTTTTAAACATGAACTTGTCTTTACCCAGGCTTCGTGCCCTGGAGAGGACACTCCAGCTTCATGTACAGCGTCAAAACACTAGACGCTGTTCCAAGTCCTCCATTCAGAGTACATTACCATAGTCTCTCGAGACTGAAGGATGCCTAGGATGATGTCTTTAATGGATCTTCACAACAATATTTAAGCATGAAAATTATATACACTAAGTCAAGTGAGCCTTTAAAACACAACAGTTGGGACTGGAAGTACACTTTAACTAAATGGGTAAAATTAGAAGCACCATTTCAAAATGGGTTGTGTAGAGTTCCACAATGAACTCAGAAATTTATGCAGATTTTAAAAATATGCCAATAAGCATTACACATTATCCTATACCTGTCCCTCTCACTCTGATTTCTGAGTTCCTCTGGACACTGCAGATCAAGAAGGATCTGAAAAACTGAAGCAAGCTCCAAAACTGGAGGCATTCAAGAAAAACTTAGATAATAACTTGGCATATATGCTTTGACTGTATTCCTGCATTGAGCAGGGGGTTGGAATTGATGGCCTTGTAGGCCCCTTCCAACTTCAGTTTTCTATGATTCTATAATTCTAAGCTCAGTGGATGGCAACAAGGATCATTGGGGGCTGGAAATCAAGCCCTATGAGGAAAGCCTGAAAGAACTGGGCATGTTTAGCCTTGAGAAAAGAAGAAAGAGGGGGAGATATGATATCACTTTTCAAATACTTGAAAGACTGTCATACAGAGGACAGTCTTTTCTGTTCTCAATCATCCTACAATGCAGGACATGAAACAATGGGCTTAAATCACAGGAAGCAAGATTTCGGATGAATATCAGGAAAAAACTTCCTAGCTGTTAGAGCAGTATGGCAATCGAATCAATTATCTAAAGAGGCGATGAGTGCTCCAACACTGGAGGCATTCAAGAGAAATTTAAACAACCACCTGGCAGATATCCTTTGATTTGTATTTCTATATTGAGCAGGGGGATGGACTTGATGGTCTTAAATGCCCCTTCTGACTTCATTATTCTATGATTCTGCCCCATCTGACTTCATTATTCTATGATTCTACACAGGAAAAATGGGAGTTAAAGGAAAAGTGGTTTGTTAAAGGCCCACACAACAGACTGATGACTAAAGCAATATTTGAACTCACGTATCTGGGGGACAAGGTCCTATGAATAGGACCGTCACAATGGTCTTCCTGATGAAAGGGATTCTTACGACAACCTGAAATTTCTTTGGGGTGTGAGATTTTTTTTTTAACCTATGCAGCTCTGGAAGTTACAACATCTAGTTATGGCATAAGAATGGCAATGCTAATAACAATAAAACTGTAACTGTACAATAATTCCAAGGGCTGTCATTATCTATTAAAATGTCAAAAAGAAATAAGGAGATAATTCTTTTCTCAATAAGAAGTCACTCTCTTCCAATTTGATTTCTGCTTTCCATCCTATTCCAAAGGGAAATTTTATCCTCATTTCTGAATGAGAGACACCATGTTTGGGATTGCTGGAAAGAAACAATAAGAACATACAGTATTTCATTCCTTCTTAAATCGCTGTTACATATGTTATGTATCCGTAATTGCCTGTCTGAATCCAAAAAGGTAGTATAATCTCTCCTATCTTTCATTTATGTCTATATTCTAAAACAAGCAACTCCCACTGGGAATTCCTCTGTGATCCCACCATGTCATCCAGGACACATTAGGCTCAATTACAGACTCTATTAGACACAACACGATGCAAAAATAGAATGATGAATGCAATTATTTCTACTGTACTGAGATGTGTTGTCAGTCTAGATGGGTTTCAATATGCAGATAAACTGCCAACGAAAATCTACCACCCACGAAAAATCTTCCGCTGGCACTAAGGTCTGAATCAAAAACTTTTAAAATATTTGTATCATGAAAAAATATGCCTTTTCCCCTCCTTGTTCAATGCTCAGCTTTTAGAGGAAATAATGCTGTTAATCCCCATGACTAGGAATCTGGAGCTCATGACATTAGTGGTTTAAACATTAGAAAGGAAACGGAAATGGCACTTCTAATTGAATTGATGTGGTCCAGTTTATGTAATGTGCAGATTGCAAAACATGCTGGGGATTTCCTACAAATTACCATAGACCTTTGACAACTCTTGGCTTCTTCAGAGTAGCTTTCCATGTTTAGTTATGACATTGATCTCTAGCTCACACAAAGCTCCATTTCTTTTGCCAAACATGGGGGGAAGGGGGCACTGAATCTTAACCAGCTAAACAACTATGATCATAATAAATCCAAAGAGAATGTGCTGGTGTGTTTAGCATACTTCGCGGTAGGACCTTAGAAAACTATCATTCCACAAAGATACATTCTAGAGGAACAGCTCCCCACTCTACTAATCTACACTGACAAGAACAGAGGTGGGCTTGCAAGAACCAAGCTATCCTTTGTGATGAGTTAACTTCTCCATAAGATTTACTCTAACTGTGACTTACTTTAGCCCAGCAAGTTGCAGTTAGAGTAGGCCCATTTGAATCAATTGAACTTATGGAGGTGTTGTTCTGTCCCTGTAACATTCCCTTCCTAGGAGCTGTAGGGAATTAGATAGCTAAGCAACTTCTGATTGGTGGACAACTTCTCCTAAAACAGTTTGTCCTACTCTTATCAAGCCACAGAGTCCCACATAGTCCAAAAAAACATTGTGGAATTCCTGGTTATGAGACTTCCCAAATGGAAGGGCTGTGGGTAGTTCTGCCTGCTTTTGGGTGCCTCAGATTGGTGCCTTACTCTTATCAAGCCACAGAGTCCCACAGAGTCCAAAAAAACCAGGAATTCCTGGTTATGAGATTTCCCAAATGGGAGGGCTGTGGTGCCTGCTTTTGGGTGCCTCAGATTGGTGCCTACCCATTTGAGTCGTGCAAAGATCCTGCCCCTGGCATAATCTTTACTTTGAAGTCGAGTCAGTCTGTGTTTTCTGTGGACAGTATGTTTGTACACATAAAACAACAGATAATCAGTTCCACAAACAACAGCTGCTGAACTAATCTTAAACTAACCAGGTCCTGCAGAACCCACAAAATAGTCCCTTTTTCCAGCTGCTTTGCTTCACTGGGTAAAGGGAGAAATGCTTCCTTCTGACCTCACTTGACCTGCTTGATCATTGAGGCCCTGCTGTAAGTTGATCCTGTGACAAACATGTGAACCGTGTCAAATTGTTATGAACGCTGAAGTGGACACACTTAAATTCATACCGTACAAGCAGTGATCATCAGGGGGCCTGATATAACATCACAGATACCCTACTGTCAACTGTTACTACTGTACAGTTAGGAACAAACCCAGGTCCTAAGCATATGCAAGAGGAACAATCCATTCATTAGCAGGTTTTAGGCATCCAATGCTTCTTAATGTGAAAATGAACTGTTAACTGTTAAAAATCTTTGGCTAATATACTTTTAGAGAAAACCAAACCAAACCTTTATCATGAATTTATGGATTTAGAGAACAATCAGGGCCTCTAAGAGAGAGGAGGAGAGAAGGGAAGACTAAAAAATTGACCCGCCTAAGCCTCTACCATCTTGTAACAAAACAAGGGTGGAAAAATGCACTCCAGAGCACCTCCAGCGCCTTGGGCGCTCAGAGGGTTAAAAACTGGTGTGCTTCCAAGGTTCCCCTGTAGAAGACACACTATATTTTGAGATTTCCCCAGGGCTCAGGGATGTGAAAAATGGACAACAAAAGAAACAGAAAAAAATGGATTCATCTGAAATTTGATACTGTGGAAGAGCTTTATAGAAACCACAGAGTGCCAGAAAGACAAATACAGTGGTGCCTCACTTGACGGCATTAATTCGTTCCAGCAAAATCACTGTAGAGTGAAAACGTCGTCAAACGAAATAAAAAAACCCACTGAAACGCATTAAAAACCGGTTAATGCATTCCAATGGGCAAAATACCTAATCGTCCAGCGAAGATCCTCCATATGGTGGCCATTTTCGGGTGCCTTTCTTGCGAAAAATGCCTCCTAAAAATAGTGGGGAGCCATTTTGAGCAGCCAGCGGCCATTTTGAAAACCCAACGATCAGCTGTTTTGATCGTCGTAATGCCCAGGGAGCCTCCAGAGCTGAGGTGGCTGAAGCAGGATGAAGAGGAGGAGGAGGAAGCACTTCCGGGCACTGAGGTGGCCGCTGGCTGGGCTGGTGCTAGGGGTGCCAAGAGAGAAAGAGCCAGAGAGCCGCTTTCCTGGAAGAGGTGGTGGCGGTGGCAGCTGCTGTTGGCAGCTTGGAGGCGCTCCTGGAGGACAGGCTGGAAGCAAGCTCTGCTCTCAGGCATTGCTCGGCAGCGCCTTGGGCGCTCAGGGAAAAGGGCTGGCAGCGCGCCTTGCTCCCTGGCTCTGCCCCAAGACAGCACCTCTTGCACCCTCCATCCGGAACTGCAGCGAAGCAGGGAACCGATCATCACAAAGCGAAAAAACCCATTAAAACATCGTTTTGTGATCGCAATTGTGATCGCAAAAACATTGTCGTGAAGCAGATTCGTCGTTATACGGGGTAATCGTTAAGCGGAGCACGACTGTAAATGGGTTCTAGTTCAAGCCTGAACTCTCAGGAGAAGGTAACATGACTAAATGGCTCTCATATTTTGGACATATCAAGAGAAGACAAAATTCACTGGAAAAGACAGTAATACTAGGAAAACTAAAGGCAATAGGGTAAGAGGAAGACCTATATAAAATGGATGAACTTTATAAAGGAAGCCACACCTTTCAGTATGAGAGAGATGCACAGTTCTGTTAATGATAGGATCTGTTGGGGGGGGGGGTCATTAAGTCACTATGTTTCTGTAAGTCATAAAACTTGTTGGTGCACAACAATAACAACCAGCACCAAACAAAGTTCTCCAAGTATTTGGAAATTCCTCCCTTCTTTTTGGGTGAACTCAATTTGAGAGTCATCCAACCACCCAAATTTTCATTTGGAGTAAATTATTATCCAGAACAAGCTTGTTCTTAAGTCCTAGCAGCATTCTCCTGTGCAGCTGAATATGCACATGATCACACAAGAATGATGGCCTGTTTCTTTTTGATATCTGAAATTGCTCATAGCAGTGTGTCACACGGAACCCACCTGTAGGAATCTCTGTAGCTCATAGTGTCATGCCCTGAATCTTCCTGATCCTCTTCAGTTACTTTGAAGCAAACCTTCTTCATGCCATGCTCTGCTTTGTCAATATCACTATCTTCTGTGACCAATGATGTGGGTGGCATCTCATCAGTAGAGGGAGGTTCACATTGACCAGATGCTGTTGGCTCAGTGATAGTTGACAAAAGCCTGCATATGTAGAATACATCATGGTGAGAAAAATACAGAGAACCAGAATCTTGAGCAAGTTACATTTTGTTCTACAACTGTTTATATTTCCAAGCCATGAGGGATTCGGACAACTGTAGTCCTCAAAAAGTACAGTATATTTTTCAAGCTCTGCAATAAACTGCTACTGATACATTACAAGTAGAATGGTGTTGTGTGAAATCCCATATGAACTTTCCTTTTTTTCCCCCAATTCATCAAGGCCCCATACTCTGTGCCCCTTCTTCTAGAAATGCTAATTGAGGATAGGACCAGTTTACAAATGGGCTCCTGGCTGAGGATGTCCACTTCCCAGGGGCATTTGGTTGGCAGCTACTCTATTTGTTTTTAGGTACGATGTGGACAATTTTACTTCCAAGGATATATAATGGATGATGCTTCATTTTTAGTTTGTTATCAGTTACTGCTCTTGTACCAATTTTTAAGCAGAGAAGGTTGTTTGGTTGCCATCATTTTTAATTTCTGTGGTTGGGTGGCTCACCTTTGATGTTCTTTGCTGAAAATGGAATGTTTTCACTCAGTTTTTCAATCAAAATAACACCTAAGGCTCATACTTTTAAAATTTTATTTTTGATTTATGTTGAGTCATGAATTCTACAGGTGTACACATAAGGCTTGTGTAACTCACTGTAGCTAATTACAACTAATTTATAAGGCACATTGTAGTTACACAATCAAGCTGTGAGCAGGCACACAACTGAAATGCAACCCAGTATCTTGCCAATTAGATGCAGTTAACTATGGCAAGTCTTAAAAATCTTACACAAACACCAACAGTATTCTGGGGAGTATCTAATATACTATGGTGAGATTCATTTTGGTAGATTCAGCTAGAGTCATTCTATGGAATCAATGAGATTTACATATGTGTTCACTCACCAATGAACAATTGATTCAATGTGTCTACTCTAGACTAGACTAGCAATATCACTGAGACCACTAGCCTGTGGATTCTTCAGAAATATAAAAGGCATTTTGAAGACTCGAGAATTTTACTGACCTTGGAGGGATGGAAGGCTGAGTCAACCTTTAGTCAGCTACCTGAACCCAACAGGAATTAATTCAAGTTATGAGCAGAGGCTTGACTGCATTACTGCAGTTTAACAGGGCTCTCTAAACATAGTCTCAGTTTCAAACAGAGTCAAGTAAAAGAACAGCTAGCACATAAATCACATGAAATCAAAATAATAGATGTACCCATCACTAGTCAACAGTTAAAGAAAAACATTTTAACTTGTTAAGACTATTTTATTCTGCCAAAATACTTGCTAATTTTCTTAAATACACTGAGTTTGCCAACGTGTAAGTGAGATGTTTGCTCTTTAACCTATTTACTCCAGCAGTTATAATCCAAGCACTGAAGGCAAAAGCTCCGCTCATTCATAGTTCAGTATGTCTGGAGGCTTAACTTGAAATAACATTCACTAGCAAACATTTCCAATAGAAAAGAATGGGAAATACCAACAAGAGGGACTATTTAATTGATTTTAGTTTCAATGAAGCTGAGACTTAATGAGGGTCTAAAAGGTTACCACCCCCAAAAGCATATCTTTACTAAATTATGATTTTCCCATAACCTCTTGCTGGTATAACTATGGTTAAAGTGTGGTCTGGCACTAACTTCAGCTGTGGCTAATGTTAAGCAAGGTTCACTGCTAGTCAGAGGTTGTAAAACATTTTTAAAACTGAGGTTAGTAATTTGCAAACTTGGGTTCCCAGATCTTGTTGGCCAAAAGCTACCTTAATCCCTATCTAGCATAACCTATGAGCAGAGATTATGATTTATTTTTGATATTCAGAATGTCTTCTTCTTCCTCTTCTTCTTTCAAAACCACAGATTACTACAGCGTTTAAGACCATGTACAGAGATTCCTAAAAGCACAAGTTCAGCCAACTTACTTGTTGATCTGAGAGACATATTGCTTCATTTCCTTAACTGCTACATCCAATTTGTTGAAGAGCTGCAAGTAGGAGTCCTGTATCTCCCGATCTTCCTGCTTCAACAAGAAGGCAAGGCCTCTTTCCTCTTGAGAGCCTCCTCCATTCTCATGCCCATAGCAACAGTCATATTGTCCATGTAGATTGTAATCCCCATTTTCCGGAGCCAAACACCTCCAAGACGGTGCAGCCATGGTGGCTATACAATGCTGGGTATATGAGAATGGATTCAGGTTTCCTGTTAAAACATTACAAATTCTAGTTACTAAAAGCACTGGCTTTCAAAGAGTGAGATTCAGTGGCATCTTCTGAATATTTTTTAATTTCCAAAGAAGTTTCTGAGTTAGTCTGTCTCAGTATGCTGGCAAAAAAAGTGGGAAGGGAAAAGAGTAAAAAAATTGTGACACTTTAAAGCTTAACAGTTTTGTTTCAATGTGAGCTATAGCTGAAGTGGATTTTGATCAATGAAAGCTCACAATGAAATAAAACTGTTAGGCTTTTAAGTGCTAAAATATTTTGCCCCTTTTCTTTTTCTTTCTTTCTCAATATTTTGTCCCTTTTCTTTTTCTTTTTCTTTCTTTCTTTCTTTCTTTCTTTCTTTCTTTCTTTTTCTTTCTTTCTTTCTTTCTTTCTTTCTTTCTTTCTTTCTTTCTTTCTTTCTTTCTTTCTGCCAACATACTTTTGTATGTTATTCTTTAAATTAGTTTTCAAATTGTAACACTAATTTGCTTGAGAATGCAGCTTCAAGAGGACTGTATTCACCTATCAGACATGTACCATAGGATGCTATCTTATATCATCAATCTTATATTAGCACTTACCCCCCACTATTTGAGAGGGACGGGTCCAACCCCCTGTTCAATGTAGGAATACAACCATTTGAGAGGGAGGTGTAGGTTTTGTATGCAACAGGCCACAGAATCATAGAATAATTGAGTTGGACCGAGTCCAACCCCCGGTTCAATGTAGGAATACAAATAAAAGCAGATCGGACAAATGGTCATCCAATTTTCTCTTGAATGCTGACCTAATCTATGGCATCTCCAGGAAATTCATTGCCTGGAAACTTAAGTGAGCCAGTATCAAACAGTATGTATCAGCCTCCTACAATGTGTCTTCTTAGGTGGGGATGACGAAAACTAGAGTCCAACACATCTGGGGGATGGTATGATGACAATAATGATCTGGGTGGCCCAGTGATGTGGTTTGCTTATAAAACTATGACCTCTGGAGTACTTGGAAACACTACTTGTGATACTCTAGTTCAAAAATATGCTACTAGCCATTCTGAATGGTGGATTCTGGGTGCTTTGATTCATAAAAGTACATTTTCAAAGTTCTGGCCCCATATAATTGAAGTCTACTGCAACCATAGAACAGTACAGAAGAAGCATGGGACTGGAAACAGGACACTAGGAAGAAGTTTCTTGTCTCAGCCACTGAAGACCTTTTGCAGTCTCAGTGATTTTGATAGAGAAGTATTTTTAGTCTGAAATCTGTCCTGATTTGTTAACATCTAGCACAACCAGAACCATTAATTAAACCTATTGCTTTCCCATCTTATGAAAACAGCACCTCCAAAGCTCTTTGCATCCTGAAATTATGCCTCAAGAGTAATATATTGGTAAATGGCTTTTAATACTGGCGCCACTGCATTCAGTCCTGTTTGAATGCCTCCTTTTAAGTTCCAAGCCTGCTGGCCATAAGAACGTTTATACAATGGTAGACCTCTTTAGCTTTTCAATGATTCCACCCCCGCCCTGTCCTCTGGCCATCAATAAATTTACACAAGACAGGAGGAATCTTCCAAGGTCATTTGGTTGTCATGTGTAGGATATTAGCTATACTCAAACCCTTCCCTTCCCCCTCTTCCCCTATGACAGAGTCAGATGTTTGGATGAAAACTTCAAAGCCTGCCTGGTAGTTTTAGCAGAAACTGTTTTTTCTTGAATTTGGTCCTGGACCATTACTGAACATTACACTCCAATGGCGACGCAACAGCTCTGAGAGGTAGTGAGCACCTTGTTCTGGATCAAGGCCAATAATAGACGGCTTCCTTCCAATGCGAATACTGAATGACCTTCCCAGTGAGGTAGTGTTTTTCGGGTATGACACTTCCATAAGGTTAATGTGGCAGTTGGTAGGACAGAAATCCATGCAGTTCAAGGGATGAGGATCTGTTGTGGCTTGTTTGAAGGATGGGCTCACCTTCATTCTCAACCTATCTATAAACTAGAGGAAGAAAAACTGTTTACTTCATTTATGTAAGCACATGAATTCATAAAGTCCCTACCTAGATCCACAGGTTACCTCCCAACAAACTCTTATTTAGATTATATTAAACATAAAATGCAGTGACTGAAATCCTGTTATGTAATTTACAGCTCCACAGAATTTATGTTATTGACAGGGCATGATTTTTGGTAATTAAATCTTCCTGTTTCTATCCTGCAGCTTTTCTAACTCCAACGTAATATCTTTACTCACATGGAAGTCATGGAAAGAGCAGGGACTGGAGGATGTATTTAGCAGAAATTGCCAATGCTAGATGACATTACTAACATTATATTTAACTAATTTCTCTCCCATGGCTCCTAAGGCTTCCACATAAAAGGAATTACAGTATATGATACTGTGGTTGTTGTTGGTTTTTCGGGCTCTTTGGCCGTGTTCTGTAGGTAACGTTTTGCCAGTCTCTGTGGCCGGCATCTTCAGAGGACAGCACTCTGTGCTCTGGTGAAGTTTGCTTGGGAGTGGAATATTTATGGCTGTGAGATAGGCTTTTGTCCTATTCAGGAGATGGGTGCTTAGTGTGTCTTGTTATGGGTGTACTGTTTATTATTTTATTTATTAGATTTTTACCCCGCCCCTCTAGACCATGTCTACTCGGGGTGGCTTACAAAATAAAACGGATCAGTATAAAAAAATATATATAATCATAAAAATTACAATTGCAGTTTCAATTAATTTAAGGAAGGATTACCAGGATGGAATAACATAAGAAAGGAAAAATAAGAGAGACTTAGTTGACTGGAGGGAAGGCCTGCTTGAATAACCAAGTTTTTAACTGGCTTTTAAAAACACCCAGCGAGGGTGCCAGCCAAATTTCTGTTGGAAGGGTGTTCCACGGTTGTGATAAGTAGAAGAGATTATCTGTCACTGTGATTGATGGGTGTCATTAGCTGGTCTTTTGTGTGTAGTGATCCCTGGTCCTTGTGGCTGTGTAGAGATCGTTGATCTTTTGCAGGCTGTATTTTTCAGAGCTGGAAGCCAAGTTTTCTTGAATTTCAAACTTTCCTCTTTTTTGTTGAAGTTCTGCTGGTGCTTGTGGATTTCAATGGCTTCCCTGTGGAGTCTGACATAATGATTGCTGGTGTTGTCCAGTATTTCAGTATTTTGAAATAGAATTTCATGTCCAGCTTGTTTTAGGGCACGTTCAGCTACTGCAGATTTTTCTGGTTGTTTTAGTCTGCAGTGTCTCTCATGTTCTTTGATTCTGGTGTGGATGCTTCGTTTTGTAGTTCCAATGTATACCTGGCCACAACTGCAAGGTATTCAGTATACTCCCACAGTGGTGAGGGGATCCCTTCTGTCCTTTGCTGAAATCCACAAGCACCAGCAGAGCTTCAACGAAAAAGAGAAAAGTTTGAAACTCAACAAAACTTGGCTTCCAGCTCTGAAAAATACAGAGGAGGAACAACCTTCAGAACATGGCCAAAGAGCCCGAAAAACCCACAACAACCATTAGATCCCGGCCATGAAAGCCTTCGCGAATATATGATACCGTGTTTCCCCAAAAATAAGACAGGGTCTTATATTAATTATTGCTCCAAAAACGCATTAGGCCTTATTTTCAGGAGATGTTTTATACTTTTCATGTACAGTAATCTACATTGATTCAAATACAGCCATGTCATCTTCTTCTGGTTGCTGCACAATGGTGGAGGGTGGGGTTTCACTTTATTGGAGCTTGTTTTGGGGTAGGGCTTATATTACAAGCATCCTAAAAATCATACTAGGGTTTATTTTCAAGTTAGGTCTTATTTTCGGGGAAACAGGCTAGTCAGAATCTATTTATTTTATTTATTTATTAGACTTATATGCCACCCATCTAGACAATGTCTACTCTGGCGGCTCACAACAAAGAACCACAGGAGAGAAATAGGACATTTTTAATTACCAAAAAAATCCCCTGTAAGTGATGTCATCAGCCTTCTTCAGATGCAAATAATGCAGCAGGATTTCAGTCAAAATTGACTGAAAACTTTTAAAAATGAAATTATCTTTAGAAGCATGTTATTTTTGAGATGTCTGCTTATTTTCCAGATGGAAGGCATGTATTTGAGCCCTAGTATGATTGGATTAAAATTAATTTCTATCATAATATGCACCAAGTACAGTGGTGCCTCGCATAACGAGCGCACCGTTTAACGATGAATCCGCATAGCAATGTGGATTTTGTGATCGCTAATGTGATCGCATAGCGATGTTTTAATAGGCCAAAAATCACTTTGCGCCGATCAGTAAGCATTTCGCTTACCGATCTTCGCATTGCGATGGGGGAACAGGTGTTCGGCGGTTCCAAAATGGCCGCTGGAACACCCAAAATGGCCACCGGAACACCCAAAATGGCCACAGCCAGATGGGGAAACATCGCAGAACGGTGAGTTTTGGGCCCACTTGGAACTTGGGCTTTTCCGTTCCGTTTAGCGATGTTTCCCCATAGCGAAGCTTAATCCGGAACGGATTAACCTCGCTATGCGGGGCACCACTGTACAATGATATTTAAGAAACACTGTCAAAATAGAAAGCAGACATTCTCCACAAGAAACAATATCCTTCAAAACTTGTTGGGAACCAGTTGGGGTACACAAACACTTGATGCACTGTCTGTCTGCAGAAAACTGTGGGATTAAATGGGCTACTTGTGTGTTTACAAAGCCCTTAACTCAAGCAGATGAAGGCAATTCCTACAGGGCAGAGCCAAGACATTTTGGTGCCAACCTACTCAAGTTAATTTGGATATGACCCAAAGCTAGCAAAATTATTTTGGCTCAAAGGGTAGAAAATATTTCAAGCAGCTCTTTCCATCCCTAGCTGTAAAAACACCAAAAGCTAAAAAAAACTGTATTCCTTTTCATTACACCCAAAGTCTGCTACCTAATTGGGCTACCTCATATTACTGTAAGTCAGGGCCAATCTGGATTTGACAATCAGATGCTGCCGTAATTTTGCCATCTCAGTAAAATCCATAAGCCATCTGAAAGGTTAAACACACAACCCTAAATCAACCTCTCTAGTAAGGATATGAAAGCACACTATCTGCAGATATCACTGTCGATTAGCGACACAATGAGTTATATGAAGAGAAACAGACGGTGGTGTCCCTGTGCAAAATCATCCTACCTCCTGATAGCTGTCAACTCGCCTGCTGATGCTTTCCAATTTTGTGTCACAGATCTGTCGGAACTCATACTGAGGCATGGTCACCACCGCATTGCTGAGTGCCATGAGTCTCCTGCAGTTCTTCACGAAATAGCTGTCATCTGTAGCAAAGGCATTTAGAATCTAAAACAGGAGAAATTAATTATTTTGCTTGGCTAGAAAATCATGCAATCTACCTCTATGGCTATGAAATGTTGGAAATAAAATGCCAATTGAGAGTATGTGATTTCACAGACTGGAAAGCTTAGCTGCACAAAACATCCTAACAACTTTTGAGAAACCCTTTTTAATCAGATCACTGTGTTTATGTTTCTTAGCAAAAAACTGTTGTGCAAGGTTTCTGGTGCAGCACGTTTACATAGATGACAGAGATTAATATAGCATGGTGCTGTACTTGGTTCCCAGATCATACAAGTTTCCTATGCAAGATTCAGATAATTGTTGATGAATAGCCTGTGGTTGTAGTGCCACATGTGGCCCATAAGCTGATGATGATGATGATGATGATGATGATGACGATCATCATCATCATCATCATCATCTTAGAACTGCAGAGCTGGAAGGGATCCTATGGATCTTTGAGTCTAGCCCATGTCAAGGAGACACAGTGGAGAATCAAACTTCCAACCCCCGGCTCCACAACCAGATAACTGAACCATTCAGCTATCCAACAGTTCTCATGGGGCCTTTGCAGATTTTCAATCTTGATTTCAAAAGCATTCGGCATGTGATCACTTCCCCAGCACCCTGCTGCATGGAGAGGAAGACACAGGAAAGGAAAAGGGCTTCAGAGAGAGAGAGAAAGCATTGGTGGGTTTGCCTGCTTATTTATGGCCCCACTATTGTAGCCATGTAGTCCCGACACAAGAATACGTGAACTATATAAGCAGGAAGGAAGAAAGTCAAAGTATGAAATATTAACATCCATGAACCCCTAAGCGAAGCAGAAATTCACTTTTTAGAAATGATTTGTTCCTGTTACAGTGTTGTAATAATTGCAGCAAGAAACAATATTGTTTCTTGCTGCAATATTGAAGAAAAACAACTTGCTAGGTTACCTTGCTATGCTGCTTGTTACTTTTTTTTTAAGGATTGATAAAGAAAGGAATTCCTGTCAAAACACTTTAAAAAAATTAAAATGCTCTTTAAAATAATTGTTTTTGTTGTTTAGTCATTAAGTCGTGTCCGATTCTTTGTGACCCCATGGACCAGAGCATGCCGGGCCCTCCTGTCTTCCACTGCCTCCCGGAGTTGGGTCAAATTCATGTTAGTAGCTTTGCTGACACCGTCCAACCATCTCGTCCTCTGTCGTCCCCTTCTCCTCCTGCCTTCACACTTTGCCAACATAAGGGTCTTTTCCAGGGAGTCTTCTCTTCTCAAAATAATTGTTGGACTCCCCCAAATCTCACTTGTTCCACCCAACAAACTTTATACATCACTATGAAATTTAACTTTGTTACACCCTCATTCCTGAAAAGAGTAACAAATTGCAAATAGCTATGTTATTTTTGGGAAGGGACGTGGTGGCGCTGTGGGCTAAACCGCAAAAGCCTGTGCTGCAGGGTCAGAAGACCAAGCAGTTGTAAGATCGAAGCTACGTGACGGAGTGAGCGCTCGTCACTTGTCCCCGCTCCCGCAACCTAGCGGTTCGAAAGCATGCAAATGCGAGTAGATAAATAGGGACCACCTCGGTGGGAAGGTAACAGCGTTCCGTGTCTAAGTCGCACTGGCCATGTGACCACGGAGGATTGTCTTCAGACAAAACGCTGGCTCTATGGCTTGGAAACGGGGATGAGCACTGCCCCCTAGAGTCGAACAGGACTGGACAAAAATTGTCAAGGGGAACCTTTACCTTTATGTTATTTTTAATATATTGATTCATGTCCTATTGTTTAGTTATGTCAGAATAAGTAGTGTGGTGTAAATTGCAGCTTCAAATCTTGCTAGTAAATGAGTTGTTTCTTGTATCCCATAGTGCACCAACGCACGTGTCTGGCACACAAGTAATACGAGTAGCTACTTGTCAATGAGAAGGTTATGCCACTACACTTACACCACCATAACTAACTAATAAGATAATGGCCATTATTTCCAAGCTCCACCTCTTAGGAAATACAGGATTGTGTTGTATTTCCTTGTATATCCCACTGCAAATGCATTTTCTATGATCTGCTGCCACCATGTTGTTTCAGTATCTTCCAGTGCAACAGGAAAACCAATTTTCTATGTTAAGCCTGATCCAGCCTACAGCCAACCAACATTTCCTCTAATTGGGAGCCTCGCCCATCTGCGCAAGGGGTGCATGTGGCATTTCACCCAAAACCAGGAAGTAAACAGGTATTGACCCTGGCGGCTGATGGGGAGCTCTGCACCAAGGGGGCTCTGTGCATCTGCATGCATCTTAGAGGGGAAACTGGCAGCCAGACAATGCATTTACAGCTTGTTGTTTTCAGGCAAAGAAAGCCAAGCATGTGAAATAATTGTGCCCATTTTCAACAGCAACTCCTAGGTTTGGAAAGCTCTTCCTCCTGAGGTAAATTCTGCAAAGTCTTGCAGGCAACTGCTAATAAGCTATAAGCAAAAAAAGTCCTTTCCAAGGACATTTCTATATGAATATGCTTTAATTAAAAACTAATGTGTATTCCTATTTTAAATATTATGCATTTTTAGCCTTCCGGATCAAATGAATTTAAAAAAATAATGTCAAATGATATAAACCTTTGCTGTGAGGTTGAAGAACCCTTTTGGCTCAATGATCTTCTCCAGGACAAAGCACTTGATTCCAGCAGTGCTTACGTATTCATACACAACACCATGCTCAAGTTGGACATTGTCCACTGTTAGGCTGATGAAAGGAGTATCTTCTCTGATGATCAGAGGAGGGTCAAAGGTGTGACAGGTCAAGCCTGAAAAGTACAGTTTAATTGTTATAGAAGTACAGAGGTAGAAGACAATGGTACTGGTTATAGATTACTGAAGTCCATAATCTCATTAATTCTCTGGATCTTTTTGAAACAACATGAAAACACAGCCTTTATTACTGGGGGCAGAGAAACGGCTGAAATTAGCTGCATCATGTATCTGTGGAAGGTTAATTATTTTCCATCCGCTAATGATTAAAATAGCCTAATGTTCTCTCTGAATTTTTGAGCTTCATAAAGAATATTCTCAAGGGTATTTAAGTTGCACAGTGGCCAAGCAAACAAGTATTATAATAACTGATTTGTGTTATCATATGAACAATTCCTACCCCACCAACAAAATCCCAAGGAATACGTATCTGTCCCAGAAAAGTGCTGTCCATATCAGAAAACAAAGAAAACAGTTTTCTGTAATGTTTTCTTTATTTTCTGATATGAACAACACTTTTTCTGATACTAACAAAATAAATAAAATATTTTTACAGTAAAATGTAAAAAAATATTTGTTTTCATTTTATGTTATAAGCCGCCTAGAGTGGTCGCAATGACCAGATAGGTGGGGTATAAATGGAATGAATGAATGAATGAATGAATGAATGAATAAATAAATAAATAAATAAATAAATATTTTGTTAGTTATATATGTTGAGAGAGGATGCTATAGGCAGCACTACATGTTATTAGTCATGCCCAGATCAGTTAGGACCCTTTCTAGCAATCACTGTACTGTAATGTCTAGTGGCTAGGAATGTACTAGTTACCTCTACCAGTGTAACTCCCCTGGCATAAATCTCAATTGCGAATTGCTGCAAGTTAAAGTTTAGCATAGGTACTTGATGTTGCTCAACATGTGCCTCTATACACAACAGCAAATGCCTATGCTGATTTCTTAACTGTGCTGACTTCTTAACTTTCATAAATTCATACCTGAATTTTACACTGATGAAGTTATGCTGGCTCAATTTTAATTGGACTCTTGCTGCGGTCTCATTTATGTTTTTAATCTTCCTTACTCTGGAAAAAAGTGAAGCCCTCTTTCCCCTAATTCTCAATTTTACCTTCACAATAATTCTGCGAGGGAAGTTGGGCTAAAAGGAGGAGACTGATGTGACATGTCCTAAAAGACAGAAATTCTATGTGTAGGGAATTCAGCTCAAGTATCTCAACCTGAACTCAAAGCTTCTTGTTCCAAGAATAACACTGTTGTATGCCTGGCATTAGTTCTCCCAGCAATTTAAAATTTACCTACAAAATATGGATTGTGCTATTCTGGTCAAGAAGTATTTGTGTGTCTTAGTAAACACTGTTTTTTTAGGAAGCATGAATGCTTGTTTCAAGTAAAGTACATCTTTTGGAAAGAGGCCAAATAAGCAAATCAAAAGTAGGACTCAGATAACTCAAGGAAACCTTCTCCCTTATCATCTTGGCCAGTCCTTATGCTACAACTTTAGTCAGCTATAAGGGTCACAGTGAATCAGATCCCACAATCTGTTTTTCGCAACAGCATTCTTATTAAGAGCCCCACAGTTTAGTTGCAAGTCAATCACACCCAATTTAGAGTGACAAGCTGAAAGCAATAGGCTGAGCTGGCATCCTACGTGGCACAAGGGATACAATAATTTAGTTTAAAACACAACGAAAAAACTCCACATTGCCCAGTGCGACATATACTGACCACAAGCCAAGACACTATGTTATTATGCTGGTTTCTGGCTTGACATTACTGCTACCAAGTAAACTATCCTGCACCATCACAAACAGGATTTCAGAGACTTTCTCTGGTGCATATTTTAGGAGACCAATAAAAAGATGCTATTCTGGGGCTTAACTATGTTTATACTGCATCAGTGTGAGAGGTAGCAAAGCTGACTCTTAAGTTCTCAGACAGCCCCACATGTGCTCCGCAGCACTCAGCTGTGTACCATGAACCTTCACTATTGTCTCGCACTTGTATGGAATAAAGCAAGAAACCATAGATGCACAGGATAGGAGATTATACTTTCCCAGTCCCTTGATAGATAGACACAGCTTGCTAAATTGAATGGAAGACTACATTGAAAGGCACTGGCAGAAAAAAAAATTACCACTCCAACTCCAGATTACCAAGAGGCATCATATGTTATTGATTCAATTATATATCATTATCAGTTAAGAGTTTATTACCCTTGCATAGTGAATGAGTGGGGGGAAACTGTGTTAGCACCCAGACACAATCTGAAATCCAGCTATTTGTTTCCAGATGTTGTGATGCAGTTCTCCAGTCAAAAGCATACACAAAAAATAAGTGGATTGGACTGGTACAAAAAAGGCAGGCGTGTGAAAATAATGCACAAAATTATTGTTATAGCAGCAAAAATACCGTATCTTTCGCTCCATAAGACGCACCTTTCCATAAGACGCACCAATTTTTTAGAAGAAGGAAACAGGAAAATATAATCTGTTTTCTTCACTCCATAAGACACACAGACTTTCCACCCCCCTGTTTTGTGCGGAAAAAAGTGCGTCTTATGGTGCGAAAAATACGGTAGCTTCCAGAGAAGGATTTATCATCCAACGTTGCCCTAAATATGCATTTATTAATAGAAATTCATATGGGAAAGGAAGGAAGATTGCACACTGATGAAGAACTGGAAGAAATTAAACATGAGAAATATTTTATTTCATTGGCATGAAATGAGTTTTACCCATAGCTTGTTGTTGTGGACCGTCATCAAGGGGATCAAGGTCTGCATTTTCTTCAATGCAGAGATCTCCTGTACTAGACTCAGAATGACTCCCATTCGGGTATGAGTTTGAAGCTGCCTGGTGAGCTCTGTCCTCTTCAGCATCTTCATGAGTTCGGTAAACCCACTGATAGAAGCCCTTCCAAAGAAACCAGAACGTTAGGGAGCCATTCTCCGAATATCAGCTTTAAGATGGATTTACATGATTCCCTGCAGCAGCCTTTGCAGACCCAATACTCTCCTGATACCTTGGACTACTCCTGTTTTTCAGATGATAACAGCTATGGTCAACACATCTGGAGCATTTCAGGTTCGGAAAACTGCCTTCCAGAAATGAAGCCCATGCACATTGTTCTCAGGATGGGCAAAGTGCAGCCTTTCAGATATTGCTGGACTGCAATTGACAGCATTCCTCATAACTGGCTTTGCCAGCCAGGGCTTATAAGAGCTGTGGTCCAAAAACATGTGGACACACACACTTGACGATCCCTTGTCTAACTGCATCTACATATATTTTTCGTCCTGCCTGGGTCTCTAACCTTCTCCTCCAAGCAACCAAAATTCTTTGCATTTTCCAAATTCTATCACAATTCCTGGTAACACTAAGAAGAAATTTGTTACAGAGCAATATGGACAATGGTTGTGTTGCCTAGAATTTCTAAACAAAGGAAGAAGAGGCAGCTGTGGTTTCTACCAGGCAATATTTCTCTGGTACTGTTATGCACCTCATTCTCCTCCCTCAAGGATGCACACAGCATCACTTGGAGACTTGTTCATTTATATAAGGTAGAAGAAGACTGTGAGCAACAGGTCCCAGGAAAAAGCACATTAAAGGAACTGCAGCTACTTGTTCTCCCATTACATTGGAATATTGAAGTCAATATATGCTGGTGTGTTTGTGTGCGGAAGCTGAGAACCCTGCAACGGGTGCTGCATGAATGGATGAGTGGAGACCCTTGGGAATATGCTTGTTCTACTTTCTATCCCATTCAAAAATAATTGACCTAACATATTTGCAAAGGATTTCACGGCTGGGATCTAATGGTTGTTGTGGGTTTTTCGGGCTCTTTGGCCGTGTTCTGAAGGTTGTTTTTCCTAACGTTTTGCCAGCCTCTGTGGCCGGCATCTTCAGAGGACAGCACTCTACTCTTAAATTTCCATTTGTCTCAGAGAGAAGTTGCAATTGATGACCAATGGCAGCATTGTTCTTCAGACAAACACTTGGAGGAAAGTCTGAATGTCCCCTCCCTGCACACAGAATTGACCTCCTAGTGTGCACACACATTGTCTTTGACAAAACTACCACACTCACAACTCCTAAAGGAAAAATATATTAAAATTTGGCTTTAAAAGTCTCCTCGTGGCCCTTTATGTGATGTAGTAGATACTTCTGCCATGTTTTGAGAATCCCCCTGAACTCTGCCCTCCAACCTAAAACATTTTAATCTACTTAAAAAAAATATTACTGGCCACTAGAGGCCACAATGGAGCTTTTACAGGAAGAAACTGTCATTTCAGAGGGAGGTTGCAGGAGGAAATGCAATTTAGCAAGATCCAACAATGAGCATGTGCAGTCAGTCACTAGACTTCCATAGACTGTCCACCCCACTACTCACCAACAGGTCAAGCCACGTTCCCCCATGACTACAAAAATCCAAATATGTTAAATGAATCCAATCACTGAAAATAATATCTGTCTTTGACATTCACTGAAAAGAGACACATTGCAGCTGAAACGTGGCTTTTGATATTCTGTTTGTTTGTTTTTTAAAAACCAAAGATGTGATGATGTGGATCAAATCCCCTGTAAAATGTTGTGGAACCACTGACCTATGGCATAAATTTGTCCAACTCATAATTAAAACCACAGTACAGTTTTGGTTTAAGAGTGCAGAGAGAGTGGAGTCAGTGACTGAAAAATATGAAGTGCATTGAGAGACGGGTCTAGAAACCAACTGTGAATCTAGAGCAGGATTTTGTAGCCAAGTACTGCTTTTATAACTGGGGTGCAACAACATTCTAGAGATCTGATTGTAAGTGAAGAGGGTTCACATTCAAGAAGTAAAATCTATTTTTATTACTTGAGTTTGTTTGCACTGAGAAGGAAGTAATCTGAATCTGTTGCTATATGAACAGTGATGTGTCTGGCAGAAAGTACACTGTTCAGCTTTGGTGTAAATATAAAGTACCCTCCCTGATTGGTAATAGGAAATAATGCAAAGCAGATTTATTCAGCAATCTAATTTCATAACAATACTATACGCCATTTTCTCCCTATCCACTCTGGCCCTCAGTCATGGTTTGGGGGTGGGGTGGGGATCCTCCCTTCCTAAACAGCTTCACACATCCAAGTGCTCACCAGAAATTCCTGCTGCCTGTTCCTATATGATGTAAAGTGTTCCAGAACCTCCGTGTAATTTTCATTCATCACATTATTCCCATTCACTTTCAGAACACACTGTCCTGGATGAAGCCCCACAGCTCCTGCTTCTGAGCCTGAAAAAGAGAAGTGGAAACACATGGCAACCCAGTAAACAACACAGTCAATAATGTTTTCCAGGCAAGAGAGTGATGGGTAAAGCAGCTGCCCCAGGGAGCAGATTTCAGGTGCGATAGTGAATTTTAATTAATTTGTTACTACTATATTTTTTAACTGCCTGGGGTGGGGAACCTATGTGAATTTCTGCCTCATGTATGGAAATTAAGGCTGGCTTTGGCCTGAATTGGTGGAGGGTGCCATTTGCTGTTCTGCCTCAGGCAGCAGAAACTCTTAAGGCTGCCAAGAAGGGTATAACAGAGTTTCTTCAGCCATCATACACTACCTTTTCTAATGATCCTATGTACTGGTCAAGGTTATAATCCGGTACCTATTTAATGCACCAAACTCAATGGAAGTTATTTCTAAGTAAACATATATAGGACTGCAACTTAAAGGATGTCTTGTTGCAATTGAGAGATTATATATTTCAGTTTATAATTTGTTTTTCCCACCAGTGATACTGCATACAAATATTGTAAGATAGAAATTGTCTGCAACGGGCAAGGATTTGGGGGCAGTTGCATCTGACTCAAGACCTTTCAGTTTAAACTTCCTGAAATCACTGGTTTTTAACAGATGTTAGTGCCTCAACTGCAGCAAGCAAACTGATCACTCAAATCTAGCGACGGGGTATTCATAGTCATATACGAATACCCCCGCACAGGTGGACATAATGAGGGTCCAGTCCCCTGGGACAGGACCGTCCAGTCACCTTTTGTTGTCGCCGTGAGCTCCACGCTCCTTTCCTATTGTCCAGAGCTCACGGCCTGCAAGCCACTCATGGCAGGAGATGGGAGGACAAGTCTCGCTGCCAGGTCGAAGAAGGGCTCACAGATCACAAGCTCCGGAGCAATAGGAAGGGAGCGCGGAGCCCGCAACAACAGCAGAAGGTGAACAGACAGTCTTGCCCCAGGAAGCTGGACCCTTTCATTCATTCATTCATTCATTCATTCATTCATTCATTCATTCATTCATTCATTCATTCATTCATTCATTCATTCATTCATTCATTACATTTCTACCCCACCCATCTAGACCAAAGGTATACTCTGTTATATCCACCTGTGTGGGGGTATTCATATTTATATACGAATACCCCCATCTCTAAGACCATTCAGCTTTCTTGCTTTCTTTTCTTTCTTTCAGTCCAGTGGTCTCATACGTATGACAATAGTAAGAACTGATATTTCAACAAAGCTATTTTCTTCTACAGCTTCTAGGGATGACCTGAAGCTTGGAGCAAGCCCTTGGCCAAGTGCCCATCTGGCTATGAATGTATTTAGTGGCAGTGGCTGTATCTGAAAACTCATGAGGTGTGCTATGTTTCTTACAGTGCCTATGTTTCTTACAATTCAAGGTCCTTGCTTGGATCTTGGCAGCTGATAGTAGCCAGGAGTTCTGTGGACTAACTACATGTAGTCTATCTCTTATGTAGAGTCCTAGCATGGCATCAGCAGTCACTTGCACTGCAGTAAAACATTAGCACAGAGGTGTTTATATATTGGACAAGTCAGCATGTGGGAATAGATGGACACTGTATCAATTAGTGTGCTGTTTAGGTGAGAACATAATGGGCATAAGATCTCAGAACATTCTTGTTGGTTACATATGGCATAACTGTTTTTTAAAAATATAATTTAACAAATTCTTTGTAATTCAAATTTCTATAAATACGTCAAGCTTTATAAATGCTTTCACTGTCTCCAAACTTAGTCATAGTTAGAGCATGCCCACTGAAATAAATGAGATTATCATTTTAAGCACAGTTCAATCTGAATTCCACTCAGTTATTTCTCTTTCAATGTAGAAAATAAAATATACAGTTGAGTTTACTTGGCATATAAAGAACATGATGTAAACACACATAACGAACAGCATCATGTTTACACTTCATTTATCAAGTTCACATGATGTGTTCATGTTAAGGGGTATGTGTTTATGTTATTAGCAAGATACTGGGCATGTTTCATTCCAGCAAGTGATTCCTGTTATGCAAAAATACAGTGAAACCACTAACATAGACAAGCCAACGGCAGATAATCCATTCTGTGTGCATAAATTGTTTCACATCACTTTTCTCACCTCGCCCCACAGCATGGATGTACGGCGGTGCTGCTCCCCGTATCTGGAAGCACAACATTTCACTGCAATCTGGGAGCTTGATAATCCTGCCAAAAAAATAAAATAAGGGGTGGTGGTAGAAGAAAACAATCCTGGATGATTAGATGACTGGTATTCTATTGCACAAAAGCTATTCCTCACGGCTCAGCAAGGTATGCTCTGGAAAAATCTATGACTAAAGGCAAACAAATAGAGACCCTGCTATGCTCTTTACTGAAAAACTCACACAGAATAAACAAACACAGTGCCAGACATCTAATGTACACAATTGACTCTAAAGCAATTTCTCTCACAAGGAGAGATGTTGCACTGAGGAGTTTTCAGTACTGGCAAATGCATGATTCCCTAATTTTACTGTATTCTGAAGCAATTAACCCTGATGTTCTAAAGATACACTGTATACTCTCTTGCATGGTTAACAGAAGGGCATAATTTATAATTTTTATACCTGATTTTATTATATGCATTTGTTCTCAGATTAAACCAGAGGGTAACAGTGCTGTTTTCACCATGTTGCTCTTGCTCTCTACCCTCCAGATCAGCTGATCAAAATAACCCTCTGCCATAATTTCTCTGGAGACTTACTCTTTAGACTTGGTTGCCACAAGAAGTCGAAGAGGCCTCCGGGAGCAGAAGGACTGGTTGAAGAGAGTCTCCACCTCTTGAAAGGGACGCAGAAACACAAGGTCCTCATTCATGGAATAAATTTTCCGTCCAATCTGCAAGCCTGCCATCTAAAATGAAATATGGGTATTATAAAAAACAGTCCATTTTTTATCATTTGGGTATCATGGCACTTTAGATTTATTTTTAAATCTGTGTTCTAGGGAAGCTAATATCCCCTTCCTTGTCTCTGTATAGACAAGATCTCCTTAGAAGGACAGTTTGCTTGTTTTTACTAATCTTTCTTGCAGGAGGTATTGAATATTGCTGCTCCAGGACAACGGTGGCTACATTCGAGGCCACACTTCTGCTTGTCCACCAATGCAACAGACTCTAAATGCCCTTTAGGAATCCTGCACCTTTATACATGCGTTCTGAAGTGCTTGGAGTTCTTTCACTGTAGAACTTCTGGCACTAGATGTATCTGTATCTGGTTTCATTTATCAACAGTGAATTGACTATATATGTTCCAAAGATGAGGGTAAGGGCATGGGAAATTCAAGCTTTTCTTCACTATGCTTCAGTGTTCAAAATTGTGTCTCTCTCTCAATTACACTTTCTGAACCTAGCAGAATTGCTGGCATCCCCTTGATCAGAACTACATGCAACTTATGAATTACACTTTCTGAACCCCTTGATCAGAACTACATGCAACTTATGGTGCTGACACATTCTGTCAAGTCATAAGTGACCTACAGCAACCCTATCAGAGGTTTCAAGGCAAGTGAGATATTTTAAGGACTGCTTTTACCAGGACAGATCTGATCTGTTTGGCTTATAATGGCTTTTTAAAAAAAAAATCCATGTTCTTTATTGTTTGAAAGTGAATGCAGTTATTGGAATATGAATTTCTAGAATAGCCAAAAGGCTGTTGGACCCAATTCAGTGAATTAGCAGACATCTGCTAGTCAATTGTTTCTTCAAAGCATGAGAGTAAACATGCTTTCCCATCAGACCACTTTCTTATTTTGTCTTTCATCCTCATTTATGGTGGTTGTATCCATCACAAGTCAGTTCCAGAATTAAAACACACAGAGATGAAACATTATAATAATGATCCACAAAGGGGAATTACACTACCATCCACGCATAGAATGATTTATTGTAGAAGTACAGTAGCCTACGGTCATAGATCTAAAGATTTTGCAATTCTGCATATGCCTGGAAAACATACAGAGTTTAAAGCAGAATTAAGCTCCTTGAGAACACTAGCTTTAATATGTATTGATTTATATTTTTAAAAAATAGGTTGCTAGATTTTGGGGATGGAATAAGATTTGTGTCAGCAATGCATACTATAATATGAAAAATGCAAGATGGTCGGTACCTTCAGTATAGTTCTTCACATCCTCTCCCTTGCAGAAAGGAGCATAATCCATCATGCAAAATTAACAAAACAGACGATTTTGCATAATGCAGATACTGTATTTAAATATCTCAGAAATTGTTATTGCTTCTGATTTATGATGTTGGATTAATGGCCTCGAAAAGGTCCAAGTCATTAACAGTCCTGTGCAGGTCTTATAATATCAGAAGTTAGCTATTCTTACATTCTTATGATTTTGTCTTAGTACAGAATGAAAATACAGCTATGATGATACAAGTACTGTAACCTGCTCAGATTAAAATAAGAATTCATCATTAAGGAATTGATCCTTAAACACCCTCCTCCTTTCAAAGAAAGAATTGGCTCAACTGAAAGATGGGACTTCTTCTACAAATGGTTTGAGTAATCAGACATCGTTTGAAGAACATGCATTAAAATGATAACTTAAATCTGGAAGGCAGAAAATAGTAAAAATCAATTTGGAATTTTGATATGGCAATATGTATAGAATGGATGTTAGTATGTCATTGTTTCTCCTCTTCCCCTTAACCTCAATCCCGTGTGTGTGTGTG